TGGAAGCCACTTTATTTTGTCCATTTGTTTCACCCCCATAGTCTCAGTAAGAGATTCTGGAGGTTGCTGCTGTTTATCTTGCTGCTGTAGCCAGGCACACACAGATACAGTATGATGAGCTTTATTGAATTGTTTGCTCCAGGCACACTCCTGCAACACAGCGCTGAAAGTCTGTATTTCTCCAGCACCCCCTGCACCATCCCAATGCCAATGTTTCTAAAAATCTTCTAGCTAAACAGATGACAGGGAGGGAATATGGAGCTGGGCAGGTGTAAAAAATACTTTGTAAAAAGGAGTTTCTTTGTTAGAGGCTTTATTAACTGAGGTATGCATGTACTATCTCAAAGGATGCTGGGGTTTAACTGCTTTTGCAGTGTGCTTCATCCTCAGGGTGTAAGCTAGTTCTGGCTGTGACATCTAGGCTAGAGGAGTATTGGGAAAGATAGCAGCAGAAGTGGAAAATTATTCATGTTTCTGAGATTGGAGCATGAACAAGGAAGTTGCCCACTGAATGTATAGGCTTTTCCAAACATTAATTCAAAGGTATTTAAAAGCAGTATACTGTGTGATGTATAAGTGTTGCTTCTTCCCTTCAAGGCGCTGCATTGATCGATGTGGGGGAAAGCATGAAGCAAATGGCTGAAGTGAAAGACTCCTTGGACATCAGTGTCAAGCAAAACTTCATTGATCCTCTACAGCTGTTGCAAGACAAAGATTTAAAGGAGATTGGAGTGAGTTTATCTCTAGCCTGAATAACTGTCTAAGGATGTAAGGTGTATCCCACAGAGAAATTTTACATTTTTCAAACCTTCTTTTAAAGTATGATCATTTTCCACTGCAGTGTATTTTTTGGAGCAATGGGGGGGGGTGAGTACTTTCCCTCTTTGTGTCAAAGAAGAATGTGTCTGTTCTTAGCTGCCAAATCACTCTCTTCAGCCCAACCATTAGAGAAAATAAGCTCCTTAAAGAAGAAACAAAAATGTGAAGAAATACGCCTGAACCTCTAAAAACACTTGCTTTTCTCAGTGTCCACAAGATTTCACTGCCTCTGCCTGGCAGGTATCTCATATCCTCATACCCGACAGGGGCAGACCCAATTGCCTAACTTTTTCAGCTTCTTTTAAAATGTGCTGGTTTCTCTTCTTCCACTTGCCCCTTTTATTCTCAGCTTACTTTTAGTTGCTGCAAACTGAGTTAAAAGTGCAAAAGTAGTTTGCACTCTATTAATTTAGCAGGAGGCGAGGAGAGATGAGAGTGAAGTCTTGCTCTTCTCAGTAGACTCACGCAAATGCCAAGTGTTATAGCTTGCCTGTTCTTTCTCATTAATAACTTTTGCCATCTTGACCATACTCTGATGTTACTTAACCGTAGATACCACAATTTTCATCTGTGAAATGCTGTGTGAGGGGTATAGTATCTCTAGCTGTGCTCAGATCATGGGGAGGGATGGGAGACGGTAGAGGTGCCAATAATGAAATCTACAAGTTCCACTCCTGATCATCTCTGATGTTAACCAACTCTCCTTTAGCTCTATAAAAACAGTGGTTGGGGGATGGAATGTAGCAAAAGAGTTATGGAAAGAGCCATCGTGGTGTAGTGGTTTGAGCATTGGACTATGATTCTGGAGAATAGGGTTCGAACCCCTGCTTGGCCATAGAAATCCACTGGTTGACCTTTGGCATGTGACAGAAAGAAAATCAACTTATTCAAAATGTGGTGCTGGAGAAGAGTACTTAGGATAATGTGGATAGCCAAGAAGATAAACACATGGGTTCTTGAACAGATCAGACCAGGGCTCTCCTTGGAAGCAAAGATGATCAAATTGAGACTATCATAGTTTGGCCACATAATGAGAAGGCATGGATCACTAGAAAAAACAATAATCCTAGGAAAGGTAGAGTACAGAAGAAAGAGACGAAGACTACAGACCAGTTGGATAGACTCGATTGGGGGGGGTTATGGGCAAGGGCTTGCAGGATCTGGGCAAGGCAGTGGAAGATAGGGATTCTTGGAGATGTCTCATCCACAGGGTCACCTGGAGTCAGAACCGACTGGAGGGCATTAACAACAACAAGGAGACAAGAGAGCCTGTTTAGCCCAGGAAAGGGCCCCTATTCCCCCCCC